TGGAGGTGTGCAAGCAGATTAGTGGTGTTTTTATGCCAGTGTATTTTCTGCGCATCCATTCTACAGCCCATGGATTAAGGAGTAAGTGACTTTCATGTCTTATTATTTAAGAAATACACTTCATAAGGCTAGAGCTGCCATAGACAGTGATTCCTCTAATGGATCCGGGCAAAGTAAATTGCAAACCTTCTAGAAAGGATTCAACATTCTAGCTGCCATTAAGAACGTTCATGATTCATAGGAAAATATCAAAATATCAACATTAATAGGAATTTGGAAGAAGCTGATTCAGACTTTCTTGGATGACTCTGAGGGGTCAAGACTTCAGGAGAGGAAGTTAACTGCAGATGTGGTAGAAACAGCAAGAGAACCATAATTAGAAGTGTATCCTGAATGGAACTGGTTTGCTGCATCTCAGGAGAGTGGAACAGATGAAGAGTTGCTTCTTATGGATGAGCAAAAGTGGTTTCTTGAGATAGGATCTACTCATTAGGAAGATGCTGTGAAATTTGTTGAAACTGCAGCAAAGGATTTTAGAATACTTCATGAAGTTAATTGATAAAGCAGCTGCAGGGTCTGACAGGCTTGACTCCAATTTTCAAAGAATTTCTGTTGTGGGTAAAATGCTATCAAACAGCATCGCATGCTACAGAGAAGTTCATGAAAGTAAGAGTCAATAAATGCAGCAAACTTCATCATTGTCTATTTTAAGAAATTGCCACAGCCACCCCAGCCTTCAGCAGCCACCCCCCAATCAGTCAGCTACCATCAGCCCTGAAGCAACACCCCTTGCCAGGAAAAAGATCATGACTCACTTAAAGCTCAGGTGACAGTTAGCATTTTTCAGCAATAAGCATTTTTTAATTAATGTATGTACATTGTTTTTTATACATAATGCTGTTGTACGCTTAATAGTCTACAGTACTTTACAACCACAGTGTAAACATAACTTTTATATGCACTGGGAACCAAAAAATTCATTTGACTTGCATTAATGCAATATTTGCTTTAGTTGATACTCACTTTATTGCAGTCATCTGGAATATCTTTGAAGTATGCCTGTAATGTGAATAATACTCATTTGTTACTCCACAGTTCTTCTTCCAAAAATATGTGTATGTATAATGCTATGAATAATATAAATCAATCACAAAAATTTAAAGTAATGTAATAGAAGTGGACAGAATGGTATCAACAGCAATTCACAGCACTGAGTGGCCAGTTAGTAGTTTATTCATCTGTACTGTAGTCAGGGAAAAACAAATTAAAATAACAGTGAATACCATTTGCACCCACGATATTGAAAGTACTAAGAAGTCTGAAAATTTCGAGCACTGGAAGGGCTGTGGGGAACCAGAGGAGATGTAGCATGTGCACAGGCAGTGGGTAAAACATGCTATTGCATGAATTATTACAAGTCTTGTGAGAAATTCTTTGCATCTGCAGTTTAAAGGTGGGAATTAAGGAAAAAGAGACTAAAGAGATTGGCAGATTATGTGGGGCCTTGTCTCCATGCTCTGAAGTTGCTCTTTTCTCCAGAAGGGAACAATCTGACATTGAAGGATTTTTCTTGCACAAAGATTGCTTTGGAAGCAAAGTGAAGAATGGTTAGGACGGGGCAAGACTGGAGAAGCCAGTGAGGATGCTGCTACAATGCCATGCAGAGGTGATGATGGCCTAATGGAGACAGTGGTGGTAGGGATGAGTAGGTGATGTATACAGCGGAAACTACAGAGGTAGAATCAATGGTACTTGGCCATAGATAAGGCCAAAGGATAAGAGAGCAAGTATGGAAGGGTCAGGCATGGCAGATAAATAAACGATGATGCAATCTGGCAGAGTAGGCTTCCCACTCTTCCAAAATAATGAGTTCAGTTTGGGGCATGTTGATTTAAAGTCACTTTTGGGGTCTTGTGATCAGTTGTTTCCATGGGTCCAAAGCTCAGTGGGAAAGTCTAAGCAAGATATTTAGATTCAGCAGTCCTGTTGGTGGGTGGTGTCACATATGTAGAGTTTGAGGAGAATGAAAGAGGTTAAGGACAAAATCCCAGGTATTAATATCTCTGAAATGGATGAAGAGATGTCTGAAGAAGAGACGGAAAAGGAGCAACCAGACTGATAGAAGGAAAGCAGTGGACTTGAAAAACAAGGGCAGGAGTTCCAAAAAGGGCATTCCTGGAAGAGGAGGACGCCCCAGAGACAGCAAGACAAAGGCCGGGGTGGTAGGGATGTAAACTGGTGTGGCCACTATGGAAAACGGCATGGAAGTTACTCACAAAATGAAAAATAGAACTACCGTATGATCCAGCAATTCCACCTCTGGGTATTTATCTGAAGAAAACAGAATACTAACTCAGGAAGATTTATGTACCTCCATGTTTACTGAAGCATTATTTAAGCAGCCAGAACATGGAAACAGCCTAAGTTTCCACTGACCTGATGGATGAATGGATAAAGTATAATGTGTCATATGTATGTGTGTATATATGTATATATGTATTATATGTGTATGTATGTATGACTATAATTCAACCCTAAAAAAGAATGAAATCTTGCCACTTGCAATAGCATGAATGGACCTTGAGGGCCTTATGCTAAGTGAGGTAAGTCAGACAGAGACAGGCAAATAACATACATGATTTCACTTATACATGGAAACTAAAAAAAATAAATAAACTCCTAGATGTAGAGAACAGATTGGTGGTTGTCAGAGGTAGGGGGTAAGGATGGAGGGCTAAAATGGGTAAGAGTCAAAAGGTACAAACTTCCAGTTATAAAATAAATAAGTCATGGGGATGTAATGTACAGCATGGTGATTGTAGTTAGTAATACTGCATTGTGTATTTGGAAGTTGCTAAGGGATTACATTTTAAAAGTTTTCATCCCAGGAAAAAAGTATTTGTAACTATGTAAGGTGATGGATGTTAATCAGACTTACTGTGGTGACCATTTTGCAATATGTGCAAATATGGAATCATTCTGTGGTACACAGGAACTGATATACTGTTATATGTCAGTTATATACACCTCACTAAAAATGGACAAAGACTGGAAAGTTACCACTCTGAGTTTTCCAACTGAGGGCAGTGGCTGTCCTGGTCTAAGACAGAAGTAGATGGTAGTGGGTTGAGAAGTGAGTAAGAGGTGTCTTTCCAGGAGCTCGGCCTGGGATGGCATCATGAAGTGGGAGCTGTGGGGATATTGTCTTTTTTCTTTTTTAAGATGGTAGCACTTAAGGAAATGTACATACTTGGGGTAGGAAGTAGTCTAAAGAGAGAGGTTGGTTGGAGTTAAAGGAGAAAAGGGAACATTGAATAGACTGAAAGAGCAGAAGGAGGTGGTACCCAGAGGGTTTACTTTGGATGGGAGAAGGTCCTCTTCCACTGAGACGAGGTGGGCTGGACCAGAAGTAAATGTGGGTGTGGGTGAACCTGTTTCTAAGTGGAAAGCAAGAAAACACACTTCTCTCCAATGATCCTATTTTCTTGGTGAGATCACTTCCTGAGGGTCAGGACGGACATGTGAGGCAGCGACTTGAACGTTGTTGGGGGAGTGACAGAAGGTGCTGGCTCTACTCTGAAGAACACAACTTGCGGCCGGTCGCTGAGGGCATCACTAAGGGCCCAGGTGTGCCTGGAGGCCGCTAATTAATTTGGTGGTGGCAATCTGTACTTTGGTGTGAGTGTGTGTGTGTTTCCTAGCAGTGCTCAACCCCACAGTATATACAGAATTTGGATGGTTGGATCAAACCTCTTTGAAACTTTACTAGCTGGGTGAGAGAGAGAACAGGGACTGACATTTATTGAAGGATCTTGGACATGGCAATTAATCTCTCTAAATCTCACTTTATCTATCTATAAAATGGAACTAAACATTGTAATACAGTGTTCCTTAACCTTTTTGCCTGTGACCTTCAATAAGAAACATGTAGCCTTATTTGTGAGAATTAAATGAGTAACTATAAGTCCATAATGCCTTTACCAAAATATCTGGGGACTTACATGTTTCCAAATTCAGAAATGGGGGGATTTTAGAAAAGTAACATGGTGCCTAGAACACATTTAACATAACACCCCATCTGAGCTTGGAAAAGTGTCCCAAATCAAACATTAATCTTTCCACAGGAGAATATGTGAATATTCACACAGACCACAAATGAAGACTATAAATAGCCTCATCTCAGTCCAGGTCAGGTTTTGTCACCAAGGGAATTCTGGTCAGATTTTGCTTCATATGTGTTTTTAAAACTTTTTTTTGGTTTTTCAGACCTTTTTGGATTTTCAAAATGTGGATATGAAATTGTTTATATAAATGTAGATATAATCTTTTAAAGTTTGTGGCACATTAAGTATTGGTTATTATTGCTGATAGAGATATATTTCATTTTTTAAATAATGGCCCTAACCCATCAAAAGGATGTCATGATGTACTAATAGATTGTGACCCACACTCTGAAAAACGCTAGTATATAAATGTTTAGCCTGGTCCCTGTTGTATACTAAGCCCTCAACATATGCTAGAAGGAAAAAAATACCATTTTCTGTTTATGTGTTTTAAGTTTGGAGAATTCTTTTAGAGGCACTTAGTTGCTATCCATCTTCACAGTGACTTTATCAGAAAGCAAATTAAATGGTTTAACCTTCCTCTTGAGCTACTTGAGCATTTCATGCTTCAGTGGGTTAATGATGAACAGTAGAAAATTTAAAAAATGATCATCACACCTTTCTATGGTATTTATGCCTTGACACCTGGTGCACTTTTTAAGTTTTCTTTAATTATTTTATGTGAGAGATAATTTTGTTGCACAGGTAAACAAATAGAACTAAGCACTCAAGCATTTGTCTTAAGTCACAAAATATACCATTTCTTCATAGAATTTGTCCAGTAGAATACACTGCTTAGGAACAACTTCCAAAGCATATTTATTATTTGGTTCTTAAGATGAGCTAAAGACACCCATCTCTGAAGTTGCTGTAGAATCTTTGTGTTTTATTTTCTAGTGCTCTTGGAGACATCAAAATAGCTGAAGTAAATGTTAAGGGTTTATTTGTGAAGCTCATTAACTCTTCCCTTGACAAAGAACTGGAAATCGGAGGCCATATTCTCCAGCAAAATGTGGATGGACAAACAGTCTCTTTGTACCAATTCCTTCCAGATATCAGAATGCAGGCCAACTTCACAGTAACAGTGAGTACAGAGCATAAATATTCTGAACTAGAATTCCAAACTATTAAATGAAATGCACTTTACTACCTAAAACTCAGCAAACATAATCCTTAAAAGAAAAGCAATGAGATTGTTTGCTTGGAGAACAGGTGATTAGATTCTTGCTGGAGAGTTTCTCCCCTTTCTTGTGCTTTCCTTCAAACTGTGAGCAGAAGCTGTTTGGTATCCCATAGCTTGATGATATATATTGTACAGTCATTATACTCTAAAAGTTCAGCTGCTCAGAAGGGTACGTTGCAGTAACCCTCTGATATTTACAATACTACGGGGAGCTCCAGGGTCACTGGTCCTTACAACCTGTTTTCTTCCAGGTGTGGGCGGCAGCTTCTGAGGCGAAGCATCAGCCACCATCAGACTTTCTTTGGAAGGAACAGGACAAGTTTAAGACAAGCCCGGACTGTACAACGATCCTGTGCAAACCTAATGGTGAAGTCAGTGTCTGGGGCTTAACAAAAGTTTTTAAGAGAATGGGTGCTCTCCTTGGGTTCCCCCTCTCCTCTTAGCTGACTCAACTATTTTTCCACCTCTAAAATCTTGATAGAACCATCGCTAGCTGCCGTAACACGTCCAGCAGATCCTCAGCACCTCTTCCCAGCCCCAAAATGCCGAAGAGCTACTCACCATTTGGAAAAAATAATTTTGATACCCCATATATCTAAAAAGCTGCTTCAAGTTTCAGAGTCAGTGATGGATTATATTTATGGTATTTTAGCCTAAAGAGTGGGTTAAGAAGGGAAAGACCTTTTCTATTCATTTATTCACTCTCAAATATTTATTGAGATCTTATTCTAAGGGCTCTACTAAGTGTTGGGTATATATATTGAATAAGATATGATACCTGTTCTCAAGACACATAGTCTAATTTGTAATGTCCATCCTTTATTCATCCTAAAATTAAGTGTATGAGTAATAACTTTGTATAACTTCATCCCAATTTTATATTTTCACTCTCCCTTTTCCTTGGTGTAATATTAGCATAAATATGGACCAAAAGACAGACCCATAAAAGTTTTTTACAACCCAAAAAAGTTATTCCTTTTACAAAACCATACTTTAGATTTTTCTTAAATATTCTTTTTTTCTTAGTCCCAGTCTAACTTACTGTGTCATACATACATACAAAGGAGGAAAATGGAGCTTGGCAAGTTAAATGGCTCGTTCAAGGTCACACGATTAGTAAAATGGCAAAACTAAAACAAAACCAGATATTCTAACTCCAAGAATTTTTCTGTAATACTAAAAGTAAGCCTCTAAGGTTCATGTGGCCAACATTCTGGAGGTGGAATTTAGACCATATCATTTTGTTTCATGATATTATCATTGTCACTGTCATCAAATGTTTTTAAGTCACCGTAATACAGGGAGAAAGAATGTTGCTCTGACCTCGGAAAGGTTTAAATCTGATTCAGGGGCACTCGCACCACGCGAATCACGAGCACGTTTGCCACACAAATGTCTATGTTTGAGTTGCTAGAAAAGAGAGTCCCTAACTAATGATCTGAAGCAAAAATGGGATTTTCCTACTGTGACTCATGAAATTGAACAACTTCTTCAAGATTTCATCTCTTTCTCTTCCATAGGCCTAGCCTAGCAGAACTTGCCCTGAATTGCCTTTATGTCTGTTTAATTTGTTAAGCCAAGCAGAGGGTTTTTCAATGGTTAGAGTTTAAACCCTAAACCTCAAATTTTATAAACTAAAAACACATCACAAAAACAAATAGAATGTTAGGCCACACTTTGGTGCTTAATTTTCTCAGGTTGAACAGAGACATAATTTTTTATTTCCTACATGTGATTTTCCTGAATGATTTGTGTCACATATATGTTGTGCACACATCACACATTCAGGGAACCAGAACAAACTCCAGCTTTAGCGGTCACGGGTCTCTCTGACAGTCACAACTGGGGTCCTACCCTGAAGAATGTCATTTCCTCTCCAGGTCTCTAGTTCTGCACATTTCTCCATCTCAAATAAGGCATATACTTATACACACACACACACACACATATACACAGGTACACATATTCTTAAATATTGGAAATTTTAACATTAATATTACAACTACCTTTTATACCATTCTTTACAGTTATGAAGTTCAGTAGCTTAACCCAATTTCACAACATCCTTGCATAGCAATTCCCCACTGCCGGCCTCCCCGTTTCTCATATGAGGACACAGTCCAAGACAGTGAGTGACTAACTCACCTGAGGTTACACAGCCTAGAATATTCAGAATTGGACACTAAGGCAAGGAGGTCTTGCTGTATCCCCATCATATGTTTCACTAATCCATACACAGAAGGCGAGTGACAGTATACAGTTTGATTTTGAAATTTTATTGCAATAAGCCTATGACATTTAAAAAAAATCTATCTAACTTCAATAGTATTTGATATTAATGATGCATTTTTGTTAGGCTATTGCCTGGTATACTCCTATTCACTGGAAGCAAGCATGGGAGAAACTGGACATGGACATTGAATTTGACAGATGCTCAGTAGTAAGCCCTGTGTCTCAAAGGCACAGGTTTCACTGGGTACCAGCTGTAACTCCAACTAAAGAGAAACAAGATCAGTCTAAGGAAGACACCTCCAGATATCAGATGGAACCAGGTGGAGTCTTTCTTCAGAGGTAATTTTTTATTGAGTCCTTCCTACAATTATTAACTGAGCAGATGTGAATGGCTGGGTGACAAGTAGACATGTGATGAATAGGTAAATCAGTGATGGCCAAAATAATCCTGTTCTGAATAGGACCATGAGAAACATAAAAACAGAGTGAGCAGGGTTACATACATGAGACGATAAAGGCAGGTGATTTCCCCTAGGTGATCCTGAGATCCCTCTGGCCATTTCTCTTCTTGGTGGCGCTGCTATTAGAGGCAAGGCTGAGGAGAGGCAGAGGGTGGTTATCACCCACCCTTAGCAGTGTGTAGGTAGTGGGAGAGGTGCGTCTCCTAGGAATTTCACCCTGGATCAAAGGCTAGCTGTGGCCGAAGGTGCAGAATTTGTGTTACTCATTTACAGGCTAATCCCTGGGATGTGATAAAAATGCTGCCCACAAGGCCTAACAAAGCCACAGTCTCTGGTCTCAAAACAGGCTCACACTTTAATTGAGCCTTCATTGCTAATGCATAAATTTACCGCAGATAATGACTTTTGGGTTCAATTTGGGCTTTATTTTTCTTTTACAGAGAAAAAGATATCCCATCAACCCTCTTCCCTAATCACAGCCCTTGGTGCCACAGTCCCAATGTCCCTGCACATCCCTACTGTCCTCTGATTGGGCCTCACAATCCCTGCGAGGCTGGAAGCAGCTTAGGTAGACAGCCCAGGCCTCGTTCACCTAGGCCTGACCCAGCCCAGGTGAGTCAAAAGGAAACTTGCTCCAGTGGAAAGTAAGGGGTGTCTGTGTGTCTGTGTGTGTGTGTGTCTGTGTGTGTGTTGACAACTGGTGAACAAAGGTTAAGTGGTAAGATAAGTTATGTCTTAAAAACTACCCATATTTTCAAGAACAGATGGCTCCTAAATCAACTATTGTGAACCCTTCACTTACATTTGCTCTAGCACCGTGTTTTCTGCTGTTCATGATAAATACCTATTGAATGAATCAATGAATCATAAGAACGGCACGGCAAGCAACAGTATGTAGGATTCTTGAATTTTGGTCAAAAGCATATTTTGTTTTTCATTAGGCAGGAAAAACTGGTCCTACAACTTAAGTTGTACTAAAAATTATCCATCCATCTTTTCCCAACACATTCTAATATTAATCCCAAATTCTGATTCCTTTTCAACCAGAAGTTTCTTATTTAAGTTCTTGAAATAAAGCTTTTAGAGTTGGTGTTATTAACCCAGAATCTGTGAATGGATTTCAGGAAGTCTATAAACCTCCTAAATGTGGTACAAAAACATATGTCTGCATATTTTGGGGGAGAAAGTCCGTGAGGTTCATCAGATGACCCAAATGTTTCAGAAGAACAGATTAGACGAACACACAGCCAGATCCTCAGCTGTAGGGAAATTCTATTTCATACAGCAGCTATATCCTGGTGAAATGATAATAATTTACAAACTTCCGTGCAGCAGAGGGATGCTTTTTTAAATGAAATGTTGGGCAGAATCCCAATGTATATGTATTGGGAAACCTTGCAAGTTGAACAGGAGCAGCCCTCACCGCCCACTACACCCTTCTCTCTTACCTCCTTCCCTGTGATTTCTGAGGCGCCTCTCTGGGCCCACAGGATTCTGTATACAACAGTATGAAAACCACTGTTAATACACTAACGCACTGTTGGGAAATAGAACCCCCAAAATAGTACCTTTTAGAAGTGGAACGATGGAAATCATGTAAATTCCTGAATATATTCCATTTCATAATGTTAAGTACTTTGTATCTTTTTGCCTGAGTTTCTTCATCTGTAAAGTAAGCTATTTTGGCCTGAAATTCTAAGAGCTCTTTCAGCAATAAATTATACACTTCACACATATCTTTAGTACTTAATGACTTAGATTTAAAGCTCTCAAGAAATAAATTAATTTATGTCTTTCTCTAATTAATACCTAGCCTTCTCTATTTTACTCATTCTGAACAACTTATTTTCTAGTGAAATTTGACTTCACATTTTCTTGATGCACCTTCCTATAGCGGTAGCTACTCAGCCTTGGTATTTAATAACTTTCCTATGCAACACAAATATTTCACTGTATGCATGTATTCTGTAATAGTAACTACTATATAGTGTTTCATCATCAGTCCTACTACATTTTATTTATCTAGTCTATTAATAATTTTTCTGTACAATATAAATGAAAATTTTGTATCTTACTGCAGTGATAACGCTGTACCTTCTTGTACACATGTATAACATGTAACACTTGTATAACTAAACTCTAAAAGTCCTCTAAAACACCTATATTTTTACTCAACTATGCAGTATGTGCATCTTCAAATTTATTAGATTTTGCCAAATACTATTAGAGAAGATTTTACCGATTTATAATCCCACCAGCATTGGAAGACTTCCTTTCCTGTCTTCTCATCTAACTTTATAGTCAGAATCCTTTCTTGTCAATCTGATTGATGTTAACTAGTGCTCACTATGGTTTTAGAGTGAAGGTTCTGTATTAACAGGTTGTTGCACATCTTATATGTCAAAGAAGAAAACTCGATTTCATGATAATAAGTTGTATTATATTTATTTCTAATAACTCCTCAATTTTGTGTGTATGTATCTTTAACACATTTGGAATTTATTTTTGTGTATAGTGTGAAATAGTGTATTGTATGAGTAGTTTTTCCAAATGGAAACCCATCTTCCCAACATCAAATATAAAGTATAGTTGCATGCCGACTTATAGTACCACTTGCCCCACAAGCTTCGTCTGGTTATATGCTCTCTGGAGAGTCCTATTGATGTATCTCTCTGCCAGTAACACTGTTCTAATTGTTATTTTATATATAATTATGCTTTTGACTCTTCTTGCTCTTCCTTTTCAGTATCCTCTGACTTTTCTAAAACTTTTTCCTGCTCTTTGCAAGCAACAGTTTGTCAAGTTTAACAGAAAAACAATGCTGTTAGCAATTTGATTGGAATTGCAAGAATTTTATGGACTAGTTTGAGAGAAAGTTGACACCTTTGTGATATGGAATCATGTTCCATAAAATCATTTGTCCACTCAGATTTTTTTCATGCCTTTCAATGCCATAATTTTCCACAAAATCCTTGCACATCTTTTGTTAGACTTTTCGCTTGGGCAGGTAATCTTTCTTTGTTATTGTTGCAGCTGCTGCTGATTTTGAAATACTTCTTCTATTAAAAGTTTTTACATTTTTAAAGGAGAGGAAAGTAATTTCTTATGTTGCTCTTGTTTCAGCAAATTTTCTGATCATTTTTAGTTTTTACAGTTTGTAGAGTCTTACAGCTTTATTTTCTTTGTACTATGCAAATAATGACATCTTTTCTTTCCAATTCTTATACACTTTATCCTTTTCGTGTGTTATTGCATTGGGCATGTCCTCTGGCATCTTGTGGAATAGTTCCAGTGAGCATGAGCATCTTTGGTTATTCCTGTTTTTAACTGGAATGCTTCTAAGGCAACACCGTGGAGCAGAATGTTTGCTGCAAGTTGTCACTTATCATTTGTTTGACTGGGAATTTATTCCCATAGGAACTAGCAGGAACTGGAGGAGTGTTCTGAATTTCTAAAATATAAGGTCTTGGGAATTTTGTTCAATATGATGGAGATCACAAAACACATGGCGGCTCCAGCTGACTTGGTGGCTACAGGTTATTAGAGGATTAAATAAGATGTGAAACTCATTCTTTCTCCCTCTCCATGTTCAGAACAAACTAAAACATAAAAAGTCACTTGTACAGAGAGTATTCCTAATGATTTGGGGGTTATGAGAGAAGGTTTCATCAAAGCACCACCCTGCACAGCTTTCTGCCCCACAAGAAAAAACATGGATAGATTCTCCTTTCGGCCACCCTTCCATGAGGGCCTACCCGCCGGCCCTTCAGTGCATGAGCTACCCAATCTCTTGCCGTAATTCTTCTCATTTTCTCCATCAGAAGTGCTCTTACTCACATACCTTCAGAAATCACACCTCCTACCATAGGACTCCCTCTATCTTCAGGGGAATCTGATGACAGATTCTAAGGGGACACATTTTCATCTCTTTATATCTTGCTTTTATTCCCAATTTACAGGAAAAGAGCTTAGTAAGTGGTAGAGCTGGGAAATTTTCCCTCTTTGTATCTCTTTCAGTGCTATAAAGTACAGAAAGGTACAAAAGACACTCCTCAACCTACTCCCTCCAATGAAAATGTTAGTATGTTCATATTTGCATCAGCTATTTTTTATATAATGTGAGACAGAATTCCCCTGTAGTTCTTCCCTAGGCCTCGTTCCCTCCTCCTCTCCCTGGAGCAACATCCATGAACTTGGGTTTTGTTATTATTGTTTTTGCTGTTCAGCACAAATCTAACTTTAAATTTTGAAAATTTTCCACTATCGACCATTGAAGTACAGAAACTCATCAGTAGCTGTGAATATATATTCTAAACCCAGAACATATCACTCCTTTTACAAAGAATTTTGGAATATGTGTTAAAGGCATGTAATCAAAAAGCTTAAACAATTTCTTTACCTTAGTAGAGGCATTGAAGGAACACTGAACAAAATGGTGGCAACTGTGTAAAGTATTTTCTACCATAAACAATTTATTCAACAATGACTGAGTATCTATAATGAATCACAGTGCTAGCGCCAGAGACACAAAAACAAATCAGGCATTTTCTTTCTAGGGGGAAAGATAAATTGTAAAACAGCAAAAGTGCTAAGGGTGTAACTTCCCAATATTTTTCACCATAAACCACAGAAAGAAATACAGTTTACATCATTGTTCTACATATATTTATACATATACATCTATAACTTAAGAGTTTCAAAAGGCAAAACTCACTTTCTGAATGTAATGTATTTTGTACTCTACTCTCTTCTTTTTCATTTTTAGGTACTTTTCATGACCCTCTAAATTTATTTCATAACCAATAAATGGGACAGGATCTGCTGCTTGAAAAACATTGTTTTAGAAACATTTATAAAATGACATGAGAGCAACTGAAACGGCATCTCAGAGGAGACAGCATTTGACCTAAGATCATGAAGGATGAGTAGAAGTTATTCGTGTTGAAAAGAGAATGGGGCAAAGCATTCTGAGTAGATGAAACAGCATATTTCAAAAGCATACAGAGATAAAGAGAAAATCCTATGTGTCAGAAAATAGTGAGAAATTGTATCCACCTGAAATATAAGTAAATGTGGAGCTGTGAATCTGAAGTTTTCGTGGGGACTAGATTTTAAAGGTATTTGCAGCCATTATGTTAAGGAGTTTAGACCGCATCATGTAGGTAGTGAAGAGGCATGAGGGTTTTAAGCAGGTGTCTCATATAGTTACCTCAATATTTGAAGAACTTTGAAAGCACTATGGGACATGAAATGGAATAGGAAAGACTCCATAACCTGTATCTCCGCCCAGCCTCTGTCCTGAACTCCGATTCATGGGACCAGTTTCCTGTAGTTTTGGATGCCCCATGGGTGTCCCATTCCCGACATGCTCAGAACTGAATGCATCATCATCTTTCCCCCAAAGCGCGTCATTCTACTTTTTCCCATATCTCAGTCAATACCATTCAGAACCCCTAGGCCTCGACAATCTCTCTGTTCTTTTCCATCAATCACAGAACCTTGTTTATCTTAAACAAGCTCTTCAGTTTTGGTCCTTAAATATCTTCATTTTCACCTCCATTGTCTTCATGATAAAGTCCAAACCTATGAACCTGATTTTTTAAATTTTTATT